AAAAAATCCCCAATGTAACTATCACTCTTTTATACTGTTACCAATACTTCACCAATATTATTTCATCTACACTCCCACTCAATTATTTTGAAGCCAATCCCAGACAGCATATCCTTTCACCCATGAACACTTCAGTATATATTCTCTAAAGAAGTTTTAAATTCTATGTGAGCAGAACTAGTCACTGGAAAGAAACTAAGAAAGATTTAAATGAAGTATAAGAAATAATTCTAACAGAGTTGTCAACTATTGAATGGAAAGATAGTGAGTTTATCATTAAAGAGATATTCAAGTGAAGCCTAGATAACTCATTGTCAGCAGTATAATAGAGAATTTCCAGCACTGTACGGTAATTGGATTTAATGAGTGTGCCTCAACATTTTTCCTCATAGAGAAGTATATGAAAGATGACACTGACATGCTCCTCATATACTCACATATAATTTCCTGTAAACCAATGCAACTCTGTATATTTTTCTTCTACTTAAAAAAGCATATTAAACTGTGTGAGGTTGTTGTTGCCATAGAGATAGCTTTAAGTTTGCTTTGATTTGTTAGAAACAAAAAGTGAATCCATCACAAATTCTGATACTTTGAACAAGGATAAATTATTGGGACCCACCCTAGAGTGACTCATAACACACAGTGGGTTCACATCTTTGCAGGTGGGAACCACTGGAGCCCATGACCATTAAAATCCTTCTAATTATGAGAATCTCATTCTGTGAGTAAAGTGCATCTGATTTTGGTCTTAGGAGTTACTTACATAGAGAAGTTGGAAATGAAGGCTCCTTTGGGAATCTGAACATCAAACACGACATTCTGAGGCTGTGGGGAGTTGTTTACCACTTTGCTTTGGATGATGGTATTTGCCATACGAGCTGTAATAGTGGACGAGACTTTATAGCTATAAAGTGTTACTTGATCAACATCTTCCTGTAATAGGAAAGAAAGCATAATAACTGTACTCATAGACAAGTGTTACCACATTTTACTACATATTTGATGTTAACAGCCATGCATGTTGTTTATTAAGAACAATTCTGGGGATTGTTAACTATATAACTCAGGTATTATTAAGCATTTTCCTAACTTTTTGGAATACATCACGACAGAAGTCTGACTTTCTTTTTTTCCCTCGAGGTATCTTGGGACCTCTTTTAGTTCTGTGCGTCTATTAATAATGGTGTTTTTCTTCTTTCTTCTTCTTCCTTTTTTTTTTGAAAAATAAGAATACAAGTATAAAATGGTTGTGGGAAGCAAAATTGGATGTGAGAAAGTTCAGGAAATAACTTCAAAGTCAGAGCCATAACTAAGGAAAGGATTCAGGACTGCAGGATTGGAAGGGGAGCCTGACTGTATCTTTAGAATGGGGCACAGCTGGGGGTTGGAAGTAAAAATGTACCCAAAGCCCCATATTGTTACCTGCTTTCTTCAATTGCATTTATTCCAATCTCATCTTTCCCAAATTAAAACACAATATAAGAACACTGATGGGTTTAACCAACAACAACAATAAAAAACAATATCACAAAGGAGGCATTTTGATGCAGTTATTAGCCCAGCCCTCTGTATCCATCTTTTCCAACACTTCTCCATTGATTTATGGTAGTTCTGGTGTAAAAAAAAAAAAAAAAAATACGGTATGTCAACATGCTCAAAGGCAAGGTGATAAAAAAACACGTCTTTTAGGAGAACTGCGAGCTTCTTCAGATCTATGGCAGTCATGGGACCTATTAGATTTTGCTTTTCCCTCCAAAAGGATTTGCTTATTTCAATACTATCTATCATCCTGGACACCTTGTTTTGTAAAATTAAGCCTTATCATCTTAAAATTAAGATGATATCGCCCAGCTCACCTCAAATTGGAATAAAATCTAGGCTCATTTTTTGCCCTTCCTACCACTATGAACTGAGTGAGCTTCTCACAGTTTTTTTTGTCAGGTCAGAGCAGGGAGTACAGCATGAACCACTTCCTTTTGAGTTTTCTTGCCACAGGAAGGTCTACTTGGAACTTTCAGGGAATTGAGCCATTTTATGTCTAAGAGTTCCTTTCCCACAGTCACTCATTTACCCTTCAAAGCTGTTAGGTGTCATATTCTAAATCAAATCTAACAGTTAAATTGAAATAAATGTATGTGCTTGGATGAAATCTATGTTGTTGGCAAAACTGGAAGAAATAAAGAGAAAGAACAATTTTGACTCTTGGTGGTAGCTTTCATATCTGTAAATACACTGTACTCTTTAATGATGAATTTTAGAAAACACTTCCAAACAGAATTGGGCAAGGGAGTATTTTGAAAGTCTGGTAAACACTCCCAGTGATAAAGACAAAGGAAACAACTGGATTGATTTCCAGATAATAGTTAACAGAAAAATCATTCTGACATCAATTTTTAACAAAATCGAAGTGAACTTACCACCGTTTCTGCAGATTCCCCAGAAACACTTCTCTGTGAAAGGAAGTTAGATAATCATTCTTCAACTGTGTTACTCATTACCTTGAGGGCAAAAATGTTTTTTGCTCTGTGAAAAACTATTTCTTTGATACTGAGCTGTAATTCATTCAATGGAATGGAGACATAAATAGCAAATATTCTTGAACACCATTTTCCCATTTGTGTATTTCTCTGAACGAGTTTCTCAGCTGCTTTCTGATTGGATGCACATCATTTTTGATATAATCTAAAAGCAAGTATTTTTAAGTGCAAATATTTAACCAGACTCATACTGAATACCTTATATCACCTTTATCCTATTTGTATGATTTAGTTTTTATTCAGATGAATGGTTGTTTAGATATCCCTTGCTGCCACAAAGTTCTGGATGTGCCATTCCCATTATTCGTAATGCTTCTCCTTCCAGAGCCCTTCTACCCCCTACTCCACAGAGCTAATTCCTACTCGAACTTTAAATCTCAGTTCCGGGAGAACTTCCTTCATGAAATGCTCTCTGACCCCCTAGTCTCAGCTCCCGTTACCAATTGTTTTCACAGGAGCATATTCCTTCTTTCTGAGTACTCATTTTGCTTTGTAATTATCCATTCTATTTGGTAATTATTTGATCAATGTCTGTCTCCTCTATTAGATTAAACTCAGGGAGAGCAGGGACTTTGGTTCAGTTTCTACTTGGTGTAGCCCTAAAGCTAAATAAGCACAATGACTGGCCCCTAGAAAATTCTGTGCTTTTATCCACTATGTTAGGGAATTATTTATGTGAATGATTGTCCTATGGGGAGAGTCAAAGGTAATATCATTGCCTTTGAGTGTTGAATGACTCAAGAATGATGGGTAAACAGTTAACGTCTGATGAATTTTAAAATAGTAAGTCAGATGTTGCATATAAGCTTAGCTTGACCTACTTGGGGTAAACTGAGGGTTTAGTGGTTGTATATAACATAGTAGGGCCACTGGTTGCCTTCTTTTAGACTTTTCGAGTGTTTCCTCTCTTAAAATTATAAAGACCCTGCAGTGCTGGTTTGGTAACTGGTCTTTAATATTATTGCTCTACAAAATACCTGATATTTCAGGAAGTCAAAAATTCATACTCATACAAATATAGGTCATTGGTCAGCATAGGTTTACTTCCATAAATGCCTCCTTTCTCAGCATCATATGAGCTTTATGCAGGAGAAGCCAAATCCTTTCTGGCATCCCAGAGAACTCATCCCCATTACTTAGAGAATCTTGTTTATGCTGCTGCTGGTAGTCTCCAGGATGCAGTCTCCAACAAGGCCAGTTCTCCTGACTAAATTACCCTCTGAGCTCCTTAGATGACAATGGCTGGAGGAAGGAGAATACTCTGGCTACCGTAGGAAGTGTCTGTCAATGCTGGGATAAGAAATGCTCTCCTCACAGGAAATTCTACCTTATAAGGCAATAAAAATTTTCCAGAATCTTAAAATTTGGAGAAAACACACAAGCATGTATCCTTTAAGTGACTAAGGTAGCCATTATGGTTCAGAGGCTAATGGGCAGCTATATGAACTCATATCTATTTCACCTTGTCAGTATTTCCACCTAGGTGTAAAACCATTGGACTCTTTTCTCCTGAAGAAAGGAGCTCTTGAGAATATCTAGCAGAAGCCATCTTAATTCTTCTTGTCTTTCTTCAATCTTCCACTTATTTTCCCTTTTGGAACTAAAAAAACTATACCTGATACCTCCGGTTCTCTGGCACAAATTGAAATTTTCCTGGGGTCAGTTCCACAAGATCTCCATATTCTGCAAACTTAAAAAGAATTTAGAAAGTTTATTATGATTTTAAAGAGAAATCTAGTGCAAAAGAGGCAAAACAGTCAGATCTGAAACAGCTAGTGGCAGGTATAAGGGTATTAATTGCATTATTTTATATTCTTTCCTATATCTCTGGGCAACTTCATTTGTTATACAATGATTTCTTGAATATATTTATGTTTACTACTTATGCCCCAGAGGTGAGTAAATGCAAGTTAACTTGTTCAAGTTTGTTGGACATAGAAATTCATTTGAGTTTGCTAGAAGACCAGCATGGTCAAGATGACCAAGTGATAGGTATGTGCCTGGGAAAGTACATGGTAGATCTTGGGACATTAACAATGTGTCACTGGATAGATGTGAACCATAAGTCTCCCTGATTGATATTGAAAAGGTTACCAGTAAGAAGTGACCAAAAAAGCACAAAGACATTTGGGTGTCTTGGCTTCAACTCCTGCCTTTATTACAAGATTCCCAATGTACTCTGGTATTTTACAGTGTTGGAAAATATGACAGTTTCTAAGCAGAAAGTGGCTTCTTTTCTGCAAATAAGCCATCTTTTTTTTTTTTTTTTTTTTTTAAGACTGCAAATATTATAGGCCACTGCATTTGCTAGGACTCTTCCATAACACACTTTGCTTTTCTGATGTAAAAGTAACTCTTGGATGACTTTCAAAATTACTCAGTTCAAGATTTTCCTTACCTGAAAAAGATGTATATTGGGGATGGCCTGCACTCTGACAGTCTACTTGCCATTTTCCCCTTTATCAGGAGTATTTAAAGTACCCTTATTACAGAAATCATTGTTCATTTATGTACAAAAACAATGGTGTTTTGGTAATGACTTTTATTAACAGTTTTAATAAAAGAGTGATAAAGCATTTCTTAGTAGTAATAATAGCTGATAATTACTAAGTGCTTGCTAGTGCCAAGCAGTTAACATATATCATTTAATTCTCATGACAACTCTTTGAATTAGATCTATTATTATCTCTATTTTTTAAAAATAAGGAGCAAGGAGCTTGCTGGCCCATTGAATTTGACTTAATTCTCATGCAAAACTTACTAATGCTTTAAAAAGCAAATACACTTTCCAGTAATTATAGTAGTAAACACTTCTTGGAGGAATTTTATGATAAGTTTTCATTCCACACAGAATACAGTCATTGGATAGAAATGGGCTATTTATTGAATATATATAGTATAGGCCAACAAGGAATCTTCTGGAAGTACTTACTTCAGGAAGTCCATTAGTGGGGATTTCCAAGCCTTGTCCCTGAGAAAGAAATAACCAGAAAAGAAAACATGTGAGTTGTTTCATTTTGCTGGACAGCTTTGCTAAGCTTCCCAGAGCAGATGTTCTGGGGAGAATTCCACTCCTTCCTAGTGAACCCAGTTCATAGGAACAACAGGGGAATATATTTGTTTTAAAAAAGAAGGAAAAGAAGAAGAAAGCTCTCAAACTTTGTTCAAAAACAGGACAAATATTTGTTCTGGAGCTCAAGCTTGAGCTGTGGGGGTGGATCAGACACCCAGAGGTTATTCAAACAGCGAGGCCAGAGGCAGTCCTTATGCTATGAGAACAAGTTAAACTAGGATGCATGTGCTTTTTCCTTTTTTTTTTTTTGGCTTTTGTTGATTTCTGTTGATCTGAAAATCAGAAAGACTTAGAGCTTATTGTCTTCTTCTTTAAATGACGAAGTGAGGAATTATACTGAGAAATAGAGTCAGAGAGGAAAACTTAAATGAAAAGTTTCTGGAAACTTATGTGAAAGCAGAGAAGATTTAGAAACAGTGGGAAAAGAATGTAATAGTTTTCCGAGCAAAGAATTTTATTTTTTATATTTTATCTCTCTTTAATAACTGAGTACCTATTACATCTGAACTCTGGTGGTGTAGTGCCTAAAGCATGTGACTGCTAACCAGAAGGCTGGTGGTTCAAACCCACCAGCCATTCCTCAGGAGGAAGGAAGATTCTGTAGAGATACCGCCTCAGAAAGCCAAGGAGGGGTCACTGTGAGAACTGTGCAGAGTGCTACATAGGATAAAAAGGCAGACTCCGCAATGAGAATGCTTCATCAACGTCTTTGATTAATATAGCAATGTGTGATGGCCTGCTCCAATCAGGCTTGCTCAGGGGAGTGGCAAATCAATTCTCTTCAGTCCAAAAATCAGTGGAAGCCCACATTGGAAGCATAACATCTTATATATTATTCCTTCCCATTCACGGTCCAGATATTATGATAACAATGTTAACTAGGATTTATCGAGCCTTTCCTTGTGTCAGGCACTTTTACACAGATTATCTAACCTCTTTAATTTTTACAAAAATGATATGCAGTGTGTACTATTTTTATCTTTTTACAGTTGAGGAAGGAGCCCTGGTGACACAAACAGTTAAGTGCTTGGCTGCTAAATGAGAACTGGCTGCTGGAACCCACTTAGTAGCTCTGTGGGAGAAGGATATGGTGGTCAGTTATATAAAGATTACAACCAGGGAAAAACCCTACAGGGCAGATCTACTCTGTTACATGGGGTTGCTAGAGTTGAAATTGAGTCAAAGGCCCCTGACAATAACAGCAATTGCAGAAATTGAGATTTACTAAGATTAAACAATCTACCTCACATCTCGTAGTAAATAGGGGTGGAATGGAGAGACACAGACCAAGTTATACCTGACTCCAAAGCCCTTGTTTTTCATGATTGCATCTCAGAGAAGCAACCTGCTCTGCTTGTCACTAGGATCCGGTATTCTAGCTGTGAGTTTAGAGTAGAATTTACCTGTAAGCCCCAAATAGGGTGGTAAATCTACTTGACTGCTTTTTCTTGAGTCTTGATTTCCCAGCACCTACTTTGGACGTCTGGTAGCATATGCCTAAGGCACTTGACTGCTCACCAGAAGGCTGGCGGTTCAAACCCACCAGCCACTCCTCGGAAGGAAGGTTGGGCAATCCTACTTCCGTAGTGATACTGCCTCGGAAACCCAAGGAGGGGTCGCTATGAGTCGGGGCCAACTCGACCGCAAACAACAACAACAACTTTGGACGTCTGTTCGGACAGGAGCCACACTGTGAACACCAGTTTGGTCAGGGAGGACCTAAACTACCACATCCTTTCTCTCAGTTTCTTTCCCTAGAATGGAAACTTTGACTCTCTGTTATCTTGGCATCTTGGACCTCTGTCTGATGCCCCTGATCTAGGACTTGGCGTGGACTTAATGCTGGGAGCCACTACTCTTTAAAAGAGGAGCTTTCACTAGCATGAAATAAACTAACGTCTGCAATGGTCTCTGGAACTTAATGATTAACGCCTGTTTCCACAAGATTCCATCCTGACTAGTCTCAACAAGCATCCTGTACCTCGTAAGGTCACTGTGAGGGTTAAATTGAACACAGGACAAATAAGTCGTCTGTCTGAGATTGCCTTCTGATTTTGCTTACAGGGAAATGGTTTCGAGTTTATTTCAAAAACAATGAAATTAAAAATAAAAAAGAATAATGTCAAAAAAGATAAACACAAATTAATATGTAGGATGGTATAAATATTGTTGTTGTTATGTGCCGTGGAGTTGGACCTGACTCATAGCAACCCCTCCTTGGGTTTCTGAGGTAGTATCACTACGGAAGTAGATTGACCAACCTTCCTTCTGAGGAGTAGCTGGTGGGTTTGAACCACCAGCCGTAGGCACTATGCTACCAGAGCTCCTGGTATAAATATAGCAACTATAATTATATGTATATAATTATATATATGATATGATATACAAAGAAAAATCTGAAGCGGTACCTATATAATACAAAATACAAACAGATTAAACTGATCTATAAGATTATGAAGGGTAACTGATTTTTTTTTTTTAAAGTTCAACCATATGCTGTCTTTAAAAATCGCATTTTATTTCCAAAAGACAAAGACAGATTAAAAGTTGAGATTGTGTTAATATTCATCTGGTTTATTTGGAAGCTTTGAAGATACGGGTTACAAAGACAGTATCAGATAAAAGTGGATATCATAGAAAATAGTAAAATGAGATTCAGGTAAGAGAATTAAAACTAAGATTAGAAATAAACTTTTTTGAGAAAGAAGATCATAAAATAGATTTTTAAATTGGAAAAAAGTAAAGATCTATCCAGTTAATTAAAAAAAGAGAATATATAATAATATATAAGATAATGAATTATACAATGATTAATACAAAATATGTAAAATATATTTAAATAATAAATTGAGATAGTATGCTCAACTGTCTACTTTTAAATTTACCCATAAGTAAAATTAATGAAAATCTTATATGAATATAAAATATTAAAAATGATCCATGATATAGTGGTAAGCAGAACAAAACTAGAGAAAGAAATAGCAAAATTACATAAAAAGACATTTGAGCCTTAGCATGTTTTCCAAATATTATAGGATATATAATGCCTATAGTGGTGTAGTGCCTAAGGCATTTGACTGCTAACTTGAGGCTGGTGGTTCAAACCCACCAGCCACTCCTCAGAAGGAAAATTGGGCAATCTACTTCCATAGTAATACCACCTCCTCAGAAACCCAAAAAGGGGTCACTATGAATTGAATCAACTTGACGGTAGTGAGGTTTTTTTTTTTTTTTTCCCCATAGGGTATAATACCTGTTTAATATATAGAAAGTGACAGTGTGTTTCTTACTTCATTTTTTGAGGAAAGGTATTGTTTTGATCCTAAATCTGAAAAATATAACACTTTAAAAAAAGAAGTTTAAGGCCAATTTAGCTTATAAATAAAAATGTAAATATAATAAGTATGATCTTAGACAATTGAAAGAATCATCCAATATAATTGAGAATGTTTCATCTTAAGAAAGTGAGGCTGCAGTTGTACAAGAAAATTTATCATAATAACACATCAATGACACTAAGCATCTGTCAAAGCTGATGGAAAAAGTTGGAAATGGATAATAGTGATGGTTGCAAAACATTATGAATACAATGAATGCCACTAAATTATACATGTGAAGAACGTTGAAATGGCAAATGTTTTTTGTGACATACATATTTACCATAATAAAAAATGAACACTTCCTCTAAAAGAAAAAAACCACATCAACAAGAAAAATACTAAAATTTTTTTCATTATATTAATAGATATTAAGAACCAATTCAATAAATTCCAATATTTGTTTTTGATTGTTTAAAATATTAGTTTTAGGACCCACGTTGTTTAACTTAATAAAAAATGTACATATATTTTGAATAGCTAACTTAGATATAATTGAGGAGCTAAATACAAGAGACATTTCTCTGAAAAAGAGGAACAACCAAAGACTTTGTATGTGTTTGTATACATTATTCCTATTGAGAAAATCAGGAGAATCCACTAAAATGTTATTGGAGGTAATAAATTTGTTTAGTTAAATATCAAGATGTAAGATGAACCCACAATAATCAATTATATCTTTCTTTATTAGTGATAAATAGCAAGAAAGAAGTATCTTTATGCCAGTTTTGTCAAAAACACATAGAAATTTAAGTTAGGACAGAGGTTTATAACAAGAAATATTTTTAACCCTGGTAAAATAAAAGAAGATGTGAATAAATAGAGGAATCTACCACTAGAGATACTAATAACAATATTAATAGCTAAATATGCCAACAGCTAATTTATTGCCTAAATTAATACACAAATTTTCCAAATATTAATGTTAGTGTCCCCATAGTACCGTTTATTGATTCTGAAAACTCTAGAGGATAAAATGCAATACAAGCAGAAAAACAAAAACAAAAACAAACCACCATGGTTTTTAAACAATAAGAATTATGCCTAGGTTTTTGATATTATAAAGCAAAAAATAAAAAAGATACCACATAGCTTGGTTTAAAATGTTGACATTTGTCAATAGAATAAAATAGTGAGTCTAGGAATACTTTCCATGCTGAATATATTACAAACTCATAGCAATGAAACAATGGGGATTGAATTCAGTCCTAAATAAATGCTACAGAAACAATTGCCAATGAGTATGAGAACAGTTGCTAATAGAAGGATTAACTTTAACCCGTATCTTACATCACATGTAACAAATGTTCTAGATTGTTTGAAGAATTCCATGTTAAAAATGATAATAATGAAAAATGGGTAGTTTATTATGTGTTAGGTATGCTTTTAGGCACTTAAGATAGAAAACAAATAAATGAAGAAAATACATATAATGAGTATAACTGGTTAAGATTTACTACCAAATTATGTAGGAGATTGATACTAAAGATAGCAATAATAGGTAACAGCTATTGAGCCCTTGAGGAGCTCTGATGGCGTAGTGGTTAAAGCATTCCACTGCTAACC